CAGACAATGTCATCCTTACTTTGCCCATTCGGCAGCAACCTCGCTCCAAAGCGTAACCCGACTAACGTTTGCTATGCCCTGATCTGTCTCTCGTATTGGTCCAACGCATGTACCATGCGGTTTCCGTTTAGGGGGCACTACGTTGGTGTATACACTCCCCAGGACGATTAGTCTCCTAAGTCAGTCGGCGGCTGCTGTAGTATGGAAGAAGCGAGAGAGCTACTTAAATAACCAAATCACGTGATCAGGATTGCACTCAACCGCGCTACTTGGCCTCCTGCCTCAAGCGGTTTCATAGCCGACTAAAATTTCCTGCTGTTTATCACAAGCCCCGTTCGACTGGTCTCGGCTCCTTTGTCTATTGCACGCCTAAACTCCCTTATCAGACTGGTAATTCGTGCAAATTATTTTGTAGGGCAGGATTTTTTACAAAGTGCCCATTCTTGCAGAGACGTCTAGAGACTCATCAGATGTGAACGAAAGGCTAAGAAAATCTCTGCCACCCTCCTCATCCTCCTCCTTCAAAATGTTGTCCACTTTTAAGTATACCACTAAAAAGATACGTTTTAGGTTCTTCTACAGTGCACGTACGGGGACTGTGAAACTTCAAAACCCGGAGGACAAAACAACAGTTGAGGTTTTAAGGGCATACTTGAGAGTGCCGAAACTTTCTGTTTACCTGAAAGCTCTTGACCACCTAGCCAGTAGTAATAAGAACGTAACTGCACACATTACACCCTTACCGTTATCCCCTTACAAACTTGCTACTAATATGACAGGACTAAGACAACTTGACCGGTGTAAGTGTAATGATAAGCTCTACACGAAGTGTACATGTAAACGCTTGCCGTGACTAGCTCAACTCGAATTGCACTTGGGAACGCTCACTGTTTCCAGCCTCTTTAACAGCCAATAACAGCCCGACTCACTCAATACCTCATGCAACGACTGCGGAACAAACATCACTTCAGACGGCGTCCGCTGGCTTGCGGTAGTACGGTCGTCTGCTAGTCAATTTTCTACTGCCTATTTTCCCATTTGTTCTGTACACAATATACTCTTCCTTCTATTCTGACCTTCCATGACTTCTCTCTTCTGCCAAGGGACCGGACCTGGAAGACCGCAGTTGCCAGGGTTTAACTTACTTAACCCTCTGCGATATAAGAATGACTGAGCCCAAGACAGTTAAGACTAATAAACAGAACCGGAAGCCCCACACAGCGG